ATCTTTCTTCGCCTCCCACATACTGCCATCAAGGCTTGCACATGAGGACGCAATACAGTTGAATTTTGTTTCACCTTCCCTTTTCTGATTAGAGTTAAGTATATAGCACATTGGTAGTATTAAGTGGTAATATACCAGGCCCCCATTAACATGTTTGAAAAACAATCTAAATACAATTAATGTATATTTAATAATAACATAAGGAAATTTTATATTTTTGAACTTCGTATGCTTATAGAAAACATTACGTTTCACAAAATGCAAACTTGTATATATCATTTTAAAGGTAATTTATTACTGAAATCAATACAAAACACAAAGTTCAATTATTTGCAATACAAAAAAAGCTAAACGATAATAGTTATCGATATACATTAGATAGTGATGATTGCAGTGAGTTATCAGTACTTAGTAGGGTACCCTTTATTTTTTACAGCTTCACATTGACGTTTCATTAGCTGACAAGAGTTTTAAGCTCTTCTTTTGTTATTACATGATGCCAGGAAACAATTATAGCCTCAATTAGTTCCCTTTTATTTGATGGTGCCTCATTCGGACAAGAGTTTTCAAACGGTGCCACAAATTTTCGATAGGATTGAGGTCAGGACTGTTTCCTGGCCTGACAACAATTAATGCTCTTTGTACAAAAACACTCTTTCGATATTTTGGTCGTGTGGCAAGGAGCAGAATCCTGCTGAAAATTAAAACGAAGCATTGTTGGGAAAGAGATCTCGATGGAAGGTAGAAGTTTGGTTCTAGAAAGTGTCAAGTTTTTGGCATTCAGTGCCCCATCGATGACATGAAGGCAACCAATACATCTGCGAAGCATGACCAAATCATAACACTACTGGGTCTTCAAAGTTCCTTAATGCAGTAGGATAGCTCTTCTCTATTCTCGTCTACATATTTTCGCCCTCACTACCAAATAGATATCTAGTTTCATCACTCCATATAACTTGTGACCACTGATCATCTGGTCAATTAATGTGTTCCTTTCCACTGTAGTCTTTTTTTTTTTTTTTTTTTTTTTTTTTGCTGAAAATTAAGATAAGGCTTTTTTTCGTGGAATTCTACCTCTCAGTCCATATCTGTTAATCTTTCTGATGTTCTGGACGACAGATACACCAGCATCATTCAGATCACTTCTGATGGCCGCTGGATATTTTTATATTGGAGACATGTCTTTTTTTTCTTCTTATCAATAGATATGGTTCCCTTTCAGCCTTTTCCTTCTTTGTTTTTTATTAAATTTTCTCCTGTTGGAAACAAACGTTCGGACTCCAGATTGTAGTCACTGAACCACCCACCTGTCTTGCAATTTTAACATAGGAAAGACCACTTTCCGTAACACAATATATTACATCTCTTTAGGTGTCCATCTACTCTTTTATTTGATGTCATGCTTCTGGACTAAAATTAAATTTTTTTACAAAACCTACTTGTAATTGCAGTGTATAAGAAACAGGTCCTCCTTCTACAGAACAAAGCAAAGTAGTGAATTGTTCAAGTGTAACTGATGTCAAACTTCTACTGGCAGTTACTAACATTTGATTGTTCTCAGAAGAAGAACAGTGATTGGCCAGGGGTAGCTAGACATTACAACCACTTCATAACTGTGTTTTTTATTTATATTAAAGTCATATAACTTTGTATGCAAATAATTGAATTTTGTGTTTTGTATTGAATTTGTGTTTTGTATTCATTTGCGAAACGTATCATTTTCTATAAGCGCACAAAGTTTAAAAACATAAAAATTTCAAGTGTCCACAATTTTGGCCACCACTTTACATTTATGAAACACACATATATATAAAGTTATACAAAAATTACACAATGACATTAGTTTTACGCAAATTCTTTCTCACAAGATGTTGAACATTTTTTATCCTCTCCATTTGTGAGAGACATACAGTACACATCCATGAGCGAGGTAAAAGAATATATTACCAAGCTCAAACCCAAAAAACCACCAGGTATAGACTCTATTTCTAATCGTATGATTAAAAATTTACCCACCAGTTATCTGTTTTTCCTAGTAATGCTTGTAAATTATATGATACAGCATTGCTATTTTCCTCAAAGCTGGAAACAAGCACTCATTGTGCCTATTCCAAAACCTGGCCAAAGCCTTTCTAATCCTCAAAATTATAGACCTATCAGCATCCTATCATCGTTATCTAAGATATACGAATTTCTGTTACTTAAACGCCTAAATGATTTTCTCCGAAATCACAGCGTTCTAATCGATGAACAATTTGTATTTCGAGTAAAACACTGCACTACGCACCAGCTGCTGAGGACAGTGGAGTTCATTTATGAAGGGTTTCGTAACAAAATGCTTACTGGCGCTTTATTTCTTGATATAGCCAAAGCATTTGATAGGACTTGGCATATAGGAATTATTATCAAGCTCATACGACTTGATCTTTCGGCCCATTTAATTCACATTATTAACTCGTACCTCAGTAATAGATCTTTTTCTGTACGAGTTAATTCTTTCATTTCGGCGCCCCGTCCTATACTTAGCGGCGTCCCGCAAGGGTCACTTTTGGGACCAACTTTGTTCATTATTTTCATAAATGACATACCAAAATCACCTAGTATCACTCTTGCACTGTATGTAGATGATACGGCCATCCTAGCTCAAAACAGACACCTTGAAAACTTGGTTCACATCATTCAGAGATATCTCTCCAGCCTTGAGCACTGGCTCATCACTTGGAAAATTTAATGTTGCAAAATGTGCTGCTATGATTTTCAAACGTAGCCCCCTCCCGTGCCCTTCCATTAATTTAAAGTTTTTCAACGACTATGTTCCCTGGTCAAATTCTTACAAGTACCTTGGAGTTGTACTTGATTCCAAATTACGCTGGCACCTTCATATTAAAAATACTCTCAATAAAGCAAAAGGTGCTAGAGCCCAACTTTACCCTTTATTAGCTCGTAAGAACCATCTGTCAATTAAAATCAAAATTCTTCTCTATACATCAATAATAAGACCAATCTTCTTGTATGCATGTACAATCTGGGGTACTGCTGCAAAGACTCGTGTGAAAAAACTTCAATCTTTTCAAAGTAAAACCCTACGTATGGCCCTAAATGCAGCCTGGTATGTCCGTACAGATGTGATTCATTTGGACTTGAACATTAAACCTGTGGATTATATTATCAAAAAACTTAGTTAAAATTTATTCCTCAAAATCGAACAGATTGATAACTGAGCACTTCAACAGATGCCTGCCTACCATCCTTCTATTCGCAGCTCAAAGAAGAGACCAAGAGCCATGATTGGCCGAGAGTTCGGCATCTATCCGCCATCTAAAAGGGCAAGACACACCCTCTCAACTTCATTTCCAGCCCCCGCGCCATGAAGGAAGGACATCTCCTCGCCAAGCTGCACAGTTACAGCCATATAATTGCTTTATCATTGCTTTTCGTCATCTAACAAGATCTTCACGCAAAGTTATCAATCTGTTCGCTTAGAATCGCATCTCCCGCAGATTTTAATCTGCCTATGAATATTTTCACCTCGATTTCTTATTTTTATTTGCACTTCCAACACGTGCCATATGCCAATGAGCCTATTAATCTTAAACTCTTTCCTATCTGCTTTTTGCTTTAGTGTTTGTATTGTGTATAAAAAATTTTAAAAGACCAAAAAAAAGTATAAAATATAAAAGTACAAAAAATTACGAAATCCTAAAAACTTATAAAAATACTAACGATGTTTAAGTTTTGTTTTTCTTGCTATGCTTAATCTTTCTTGAGCCTGTGGCTCCCTCTATTGAGCATCAAATTACTCACTTATGCATTTTTCCTATTTCTGCTCACTTTATTTTAATTCTGATGTGGAGGTACATGGTTTTGAACTATAGGCACTCCGTAAATTTTAAATCATTGGCATTGGACATTAGTTTTCAATGGGCAAAACACAAATTTTCGTTATTTGTCTTTTAGGTATTCCTTTTTCAGTCTTGACATCAACAACTCATCCCATCTTTACGTGGGAATAATTTCACAGTTCTACCCACAGGCCTATTACAAATAGCAGTGTTATCTCCTTTTACAATAACTAAATCATTTAGTTTTAGATTGACTTTTTCGAATACCCATTTTGATCTCTGTTGTAGATAACTTAAATAATCATTGGACCATTTCTGCCAAGTTAATTGGATTCATTTGGTGTGCCTTTGAGTGATTTTGATTTAGTCTTGTGAATATTTGTTACATCAGGTTCAATAAGATAATTAATTTATCATCCAATTAAAAAGTGGTCAGGAGTCAAAGTGTTCATATCATCTGCATAAGATGAGAAAGGCACAAGGGGGCATGAATTTAGAACACCTTCAATTTGTGTAATTACTGTGAAAAATCCCTCTTTTCGGGGAAAAGACACTGGTAATGAGATTATTGTCAACCTACAGTTACGACCCTATTCTTTTAATATCTGCTGCTGCAGCTTCAGTGCTTTTTTTTTATTATTATTTGAAAAGAAAATGCATGGAAATGTTATGATTTTTTCCAAAAATTAGTGCTGTAATCTGAACATCTGCCATATCTAATGTAACCTTCTATATAGCCAGACAGTTCATGCTTATTCACAGTTTTGTGAAGGGAGATATGCATTTCTGTTTTGGTTCATATATTTTGGATTACAGGTTCCTTCAGTTGATGTTTTTATATTTAAATCAGAAAAAAAAAAAAAAAAAAAGCTAGGAACACTTTAAAATTCTGTGCCTTGTATCTTTGCATTCCACGCAGTCAACCAAGACAGTACTATAAGAGGATAAATTTAAAGCTTGCACTGCAACCTGTTATCACTTTCTTGCAAATTACATTCGCAAAACTTGCAGAACTTTAAGTATTTTATGATAATCAAAGTTTAGTATGGTGAAAGCATAACAAAAAGAAATATTTAATAATGGATTATGATTAATAATCATTAATAATTGCATTGTATTACTTTTCTTTATCAGTTTATTTTATACAAATTTTTATAGCGTTGCTGTGAAGAGAGAGAAATTAGACTGAAGAGTGTAACTGCAAATATATCTGCATCTATGTCAAAATCCAATCCAGGTAAATATAATTTTATTAAAGATTGAGTTACATTTCTAATTAAGATTAATTATTAAAGAATGCATTATTTCAAGAGTCTTGTATCGAACTTAATACTATACAGTCAAAAGTCTTTAATCTGAACTCGTTGGGACTTCGGTGATTCCGGATTATTGATTTTTACGGATTATAGATCATCAATTTAAATCTGGTAAGATGGCATGCAGAAATTATAAAATTAAAAATATGAAACCGTAATTTATAAAATAATGAGCAATTATGATCTAAAGGGTATCAAAATTTACAAAAAAAAAAAAAAGCTTAATATTTATTTGTTTACTTTATTAAACATTTCTTTCAACGCGCACATGCGTAAAGCATACATTACGCATAGCCGAAATTAGAAAATTGCAACCAGAAAACTATTTGATTTGTATTCGTGATATTTATAATGACGAGGAATTTGATTTAAAAATCATATCAAAGACGGAGTACATCGAGATGAAATACTACATTTAATAAGGAATTATAAGCCGAATAAAATAAAAACATCTGCCCTGAAGATAACGATAGTGCTGACAGATCAACTTCCAGTTCATTGCACGCCGCGACGTTCCCCTCCCCCCCCCACGCAGAGCAGCATAAAATTGATAAACAGATTTCGGAATGGTTAGATAAACAAAGGATATGCCTTTATCCATTTTTTGGAGCAATTCCACTTTTTGTTTCATGGACATTGAAACATACTTTCGTTTTGTAGATCCTTTGGGAGCTCCAGCATCAGAAATTCTATTTGACATAATCGAAAGTTCAAGCTTACTTTTATAAAATTGCTCTTACAGTCTGCAAAAAATAATAAGCAGGATCCAATTCGAAGATTAAGGAACAACGCAATCGTCAACGTTAACTGAAATGGATAATTAGATAATTTTAGCTTATACCGTCCGTTATACATTAAAAGCGCACGCGAAAACGTATTCTGCGCTTGCGCACACACAAGTGCGCAGTCGTAAGAGGTCTTGCGTGCGTGCGTAAACGCCTATGCGCATGTGTCAACGCGGCGCATGCGCAGAAAGTTTTTAGCTTTGAGGTCTGGATTATGGGTGTCCGAATTAACGACTTTTGACTGTATACACATATAACGTGTAGAACACTTAATACATAAATAGAACTAACAAACTAAAGTTCCTTTAGTACTACTGTATCTAAAAAATTGCACTCAGATTTTCATATAAATGATATTTATTAAAAAAAAATTATGAACCTAGCATTTTTTAATGTAAATTTTGAGCCTATGTCTTGAATGCCATTGCATCTGTATGCTGCCTGATAGATGTCACAACAATTAAGAAGTGTCTTCTGAATATTCATCTGGAATTTTTGCTCCTTTTTTATGTTTTCTACAGGAATGCATTACTTGAAAACTTATGTACTTCCCAAAAGAAATGTATGTACTAGTAGAATGTTGAACATTTTTTATTTCTAACTTATAATTTTTTTATACTGCCTATCCCCAACTGCAACTCTTTTTATTTCAGTTTCAATTTAGCCAGTAAGATAGAATGGAGAAGCATGTACTCTGTTATAAGATGGTATTGTCTGATAAAATGATAATCCGTATATGATGACAGGAAACTTCAGAGAGAATAAATTATTCCTCTTACTGTAAAATTTTGAATTCTGTCATTTTTTAAACATCATTCATTAATTGCTTTTGCACAAAAGATGCTGAGTTCATTTAAATAAGTAGTAAATTTAATCTCTACTAAAATCATGTAACCAGTTACTATTTTCGCACTCAGTGCACAGCCTTCTAAGATAGATTTGAAAGTTGCAGGTTGGACGCATTGCTTTAGACTGTCTCCTGACCCGCTTCTCAGAGCCATGTTGTCAGGTGATGCATGTTCTAGGCTGGATTACCTATTTATTAAGGTTCCATGCTTTTTTTCCTACAATAAATTATTTGTCACATTGTGATAAATTTTATTATGAACTATATTTCAATGTATCCCCTTTTATTAGATTATTTTTACTGCATTACATATTTTGTTTTATATAATGGTATTTGTCAATTTTTGTACATTCTTCTTTATCACTATTTTCTGCAAATGCTCCCTTACATTAGAATTTCAGATAAAAAAGTGGGCATATATGCAGAAATATGCCCTAAGTGAAGCTTATTTGCTTACTATGAAAAGTTAGCTCAACTGTAATTTACTTCCTTTTTATACCCATATTTTGACATGATAGAAATACATCAAGTTGACAAATACTTGTTTACAGCAGTGAAAGTCTATGGTGAGCTTTCAAAGAATGCTGTATTTTTCTTTTTAATGTACGCTGTAGCTCAAAAATCATAAGTAGGAAAATTGATTGAAAAGTGAAGCATGTATGTGGTACTTATTTCAAAAGAGTCTGAAAAAATTTGCATGTATAAATAGTCCCATAGTTAGAAAAGTACGTGTAAAAGATGGCTAATTCAGATTTGCACTAGAAATTTTGGAATATTAAGTAGTGCAGGTACTGTGAGATAGCCATATACTGTAAATAATAAACAGACATGTCATCCAAATTTTGAAATGCATTAAAAGGCTGTAAGGATATTGATGATTCGTCAAGGACAGCCCTATGGAGGCATTATAATAGATTTTTTAATAATTAGCGCTGCCCAAATAGTATAGTGGTTTGGGGGAGCCTATTACAATACTGAAGGGCATGAGTTCAAATCCGAGAGAAGGCATGAATGCAAATGTATAGTGCCTGTGCGGCAGGGGGCACTCCAGCCAAAGTATGCATCCAGCCAAAAGTCCTCTCGAGAGGGGAAGAGGGGTGGGAGATCCTCGGACACATGCCCTAGGGTGCTCACTTTCAAAATTGGAAGGTGGAACTGAGTGAAGCCATACTGTCATCTGCATGGTGTTCAAGGGCTTTACACCAATGACAGGTGCAATCTTGCTTTGTCTGCCACAGTAAGTTTTGTGGGCTTGTTCTGATGTCCTGAGTCCCACCAGCAGCCGAGCAGTAGAGTCACCGAACACTGGTAATTTGGTCCGACATTCGAATCCCATGAATGTGGTGGTTGTATACACATTTTTGTGGTTTTCCAAATGTGTAGCGCGTTAATGAGCCGGTTTCTCTTAGGAATCGCTTCCATGAAGGCATCCATTTCCTAGGTGAAAGCAAGCTAGTTTTCCTTAAAAGATATTCTTCACATACTTTGCCCATAGTCCTTGTGCTACTTATTTTCATTCCAGTTATTCTATTTATTTATTATTTCCTCCCCCCTTTTGAGATTAAAGGATGCTCTGCTTTCTATGCTTGCAACTGAAAAACACTTTTCTTCATAAAGATAGCTTCACTTAACAGTGTTCCTAGGCTGCACCAAATTTTTATCTGATTAGACTGATTTATGCTTACAAAGCTGTTGCCTTGCTCATTTTAGTGGAAGCTAGTTTGTCTTTTCAGAAATACCTGAAATATTTTTTTAATCACAAAATTTTATTTAATTTTGCTTATTTTTAACAGATGTATAATTTCTTATAGTTATGGAAAATTTCTTTTTCTTATAGTACGTCAAGTTAAGCTAGCATATGTAGACTCAGTTGTTAAACCTCCCCGTGATGTAGCTCGAAGACAAGCAAAAAATGGAACAGGTCTTCCTGTGAATCATAAAGTGAAACCTGGACCACCTTCAAAAGCTACTCCTAGGCCATCTGCACCTTCCATCAATGTTGCAGTTGCATCAACTAGTAAAGCCCCGATCAATTTCGTTCCTAAGAGTAAGTACTAAAGAAAATTTAAAAAGTAATGTGTTAATCCCTTAGACTTAAATATACAAAAATTATTATTCAAAATCTTATATATGTGTATATATATATATATATATATATACCATTCTTATAAATAGTGTAGTTTAACTGATGCTTATTTTTTTATCGTAAGTAAACAGTTTTATACTGTTGAAAATTGAGCATTTAATTGATGTTATGTGCAGTTTTAGTGACGTCATTGTTTTGTTGCATTATTATGTTTTATGCATCAAGCATCACTGTTGTTTCAGTCATTCTAAAAAGTTGACATGTTAGCAATAAGACGTACGTAAGTTTTCTTTACCTTTTTGTTAATAAAGTCCAAAAATTTAATTAGCCATTACTCCGTTTATTAATTTTATAACAGGTTATGGGGTTTTAGTGACGTTTAACTGCGTAAATAAAGTAACGATGGCTATGTTGACGTATTTGAATCTTTTGCTGCATATTTCCTGGTTAATGACGATGTAATATGGAAGCTGAAAGTTTTGTTCAGTGTGCCAAACTGGAAGGTTTATGCAACTGGAGTGATTGGAAATTTGAAACAAACTCTTTGTTTGTGCTCATCGATTATGTGGGCATCTTGGATAATTGTCTTGGATAATTGCCCTTGTCGAGCCAAAAGCACTGGCAGAAGGTGCGAATGAAAAGACGATACACGAGTACAACGAAGCTGCAAAGGCAAATGTGAAAGCTGTGGTGATCATTTGCACAAATGTATCACTGAATGTGTTAAATTTGATTCGTATGCATTGTAATTCTGCACAAGTGATATGGAATGAGTTGTTAAGTAATTTTGAGAAAGTGTCAAGTGTGAAATTTGACTCTCTTCTGCAACAGTTTTTCACTTTTCGGATTGAGAAAGGGGAAAGTGTAATGCAATCACTCACACATTTACGTACACTGTGAGTGGATCTTCAGTGTGAGCAAGAGTTGAGCAGTAAAGGAAAGTTGCCTCAGAACTTGTTAGCACCATGAATCTTACCTATTTTCCTGATGACAAATATATCGAGTTCAAATCAAAGTGGGACTCAATGCCATAGACGGAAGAGTCACCTGAAAAACTGATCAAACAGATTAATATGTGGCTACAAAATCAAGAGCTTAGAAATGAAAGTAAACATTTGTGGCAAATGCTAATTATAGCGCAAAACATAGTGGAAAGAAATGGAAGAAGGGTGGTAAAAACCTCAGATGGTCAGCCAATCCCAACCCTTGACAACAAATAATGCCAAAATGATGAAGAGACTTAGTAAGACCAGTGATGGTGTGAAAGGTTTCAATGGAATCTGTTTTCGTTATAATAAGCCTGGGCACATTGGTAAATTTTGCCCAGTTTTCCCTGACATGCCAACCACACCGAATTGCAAAACAGAGACCTTCTTTGCAAATACTCAATGCAGTGCATTTGCTTGTCAAGAAGAGGATTGGGGCCAAAATGTGTGGCTTTAAAGACGATGGAGCAACAGCACACATTACAAATTCAGCCGAGTATTTCAAGATGTACCGTCACTTTAACAAACAAGCAGAAATCACAGTTGGTAACAAACAGACAATACCAGCCTATGGCTGTGGAGACATTGACTTGAGCGCGATGGTTGGAAACGTACAAGAAACTATTGTGCTCACTGATGTACTGTACGCACCAGAAATTGGCAAAATTTTGTTATCAGCTTCGAAGACAATGAAATGAGATATCTCTGACTTTATTGATTCATACAATATGATTTGTCGTTTCTTTTGCAAGGAGACCTTAGATAATATAATTTTAGAGGCCCAATGTTCATCAAATGGACTCTTTGAACTACGTACAAAACCAGTCAAGCCACAAGGGGGTTCTGCTTCTGCAGCCTTCTTGGTTGACAACTACTTTTCCTGAGATGCCAATGAAGATGACGACAAAATTATCATTATCACTGTTGTTTCGACGACTTGGGCATCAAGGAATACAGTACGTGAAACAGTACCTGCACCAAAATTTAAGATTTTATCAACAATGGACTATTTTGTAAACCATGTGCATATGGTAAACAAAGTCAATGACCATTTAAAATAGAAATGATTCAAAACACAAAAGTCTGGTGAGATAATACATGCAGATTTACTCGAATCGCCAGTCTTATCAAGAGATGAAAAGAAGTACATGTTAGTGATTAAGGAGGATTACTCTAAGTTTCAACATGTAGAATTTCTGAGACATAAAGACGAGGCTGTGGATAAAATCAGGCAGTTTCTTGTTCAGGCCAACAAAGATGATATAAATGTAAAAGAACTGGTCACAGACAGTGGTCACAGTTTGAAAATGACAAATTGGTAAACTGATTGATGCATTCATCAAGCTGCGAATCACTATACCATATACAGCTAAAATGAAATGAATTGGTTGAAAGAGAGAATCGTACAATAATGAATGCAATTCGCTCTGTGATCAAGGATTTAGGCCTACCACAGTTCCTGTGGACAGAAGCAGCATCTACAGCTATGTTCTCAATCAAACTGGACCAAGTAAAACTACGGAAAAATCTCCATTTGAGGAAGGGTTTGGACGCAAGCCGGCAACAGAATTTGAGTTTTTGGATCAGCTGCATTTGTACATGTACCAAATGTCAACAGAGGTAAATTAGATGACAAGGCTATAAAGGGCTATTTGTTTGGTTATTGTGATGATGAATGGTTATCGCATTTTTATACCATCAAGGAATGATACGATAAAAAATCCCAATGTAGTGTTCAATGAACAGCAAATTGGCCCTACTTCCCAACCTTCAAAATTAGCATTTAACACCGGTCTATCAAGTGGAATGAAGTTTATTTTGGAAGATGGCCACGATGATGCAGGCACACGGGGGCTGGTGATCTGTGCAGTGATGAAGTTGAACCAACACAGATGACCGCACGTACGTTGCGAGACCGTTCAACTATCCAACAGCCTGTCAGATTTAATGACTATGACATGTATAACAGCATTCTGAAGTTGGAAGAGCCTAAAACATATGATGAAGCAATGAAGTCTCCTGAATACGCCGACTAGAAAAGAGCCATGGGCGAAGAATGGCTTTGCATACCAAACATGGAACATGGCAACTTGTTGAGCCACCTAACAGACATAAAATCCTCAACAATCACTGGGTTTACAGAGTGAAGACAAATCCCGATAGCTCAATCGAGAAATTCAAGGCCCGTTTAGTAGCAAAAGGGTACACGCAGATGATGAATATTGACTACAAAGACACATTTAGCCCGGTGTGTTGCTATGACAGTATTCTAGCTCTAATTGCAACGGCAGCCAAGGAGAATCTCAAGTTATATCAAATTGATGTGGAGACGGCATTCCTTTACAGTGACCTAACTGAGGAGATCTATATGCATTAACCTGAAGGCTATAACGATGGAAGTAAGCATGCATGCAAGATGCTCCAACCTTTACACGGCTTGAAACAAGCTCAACAATGTTGGAATGCCAAGTTTACTGATGTGCTAACTAAACATGGCATGATCCAAAGTAAATCCGACAACTGCCTGTTCATACAAAATGATTATGGACATAAGGTGCTGATGATGATTTATGTTGATGATGGCATTGTCGCTGTTCAGGACAATGCAGCATTCTTCACATTTGTGGACAAGCTCAAGCAACATTTTAACATTCGTGTGACGACGTTAAATTGTTTGCTTGGTCTACAAGTTGAAGTTTGAAAGATGGCTCACTCTTCCTGCACCAAGAAGCATTTACAAGAAAGATATTAAAGCGATATGGAGATGCTAAGACATCACACATCCTAGTAAAGAAGTCGAGTCTCAAGGTCGACTATTGGTCAACCAAATGGCAATGGCATAATCAAGATTAAAAAGGAGGCGAGGCCTCTCAGCATTGAAATTCCATACCGATCAGTAGTTGGCTGTTTGCTGTGCTTGGCGATGGAGACCCAACCAGATATTGCTTATGCAGTGAGTGAGTCTCGAAAGCTGAACAGTCCTACAGAGATTGATTAAGAAATTGTACGGACAACATTAAGATACCTTCGCAATACCAATAAAGATGATAGAAGTTTGATGCTGTTTAGTGACGCAGATAACAACAGCTGTGCAAAACACGCAGGTCTTGAACGAGTGTTATTTCTTTCTATGGTGGAGGCGCAATTACGTAGGTGAAGCAAGCTACAGGAGGCCATATCCAATTCAACGACAGAGGTAGAATTCATGGCAGCAGCTGATGCCACGAAAGACCTGATATGGTTGAAGAGCTTGTTCAATGAGATTGCTAATAATTTTTAGAAATAAACTTTATTTTATTTTATGATGTTTTATCTGCCAAAGCAATGCTATAATTATAGACTCTATGTTCCTTAATATTCATGTGTAGCTCTTTTTGTTTTTTCCTGGATGGCAACAGTTAGCTAGTCAAGTAAATAAACATGTAACGTACATTAGTGGTTTGCTTATTTCTGTATAATATATTTCAAAAATATATCTGCCATTTAAGTGATTTCTATCATGTTATCAGCACGATAATGCTCTAAAGAAGTTTATTTGGCAGAAATGAAGAAGAAATTTTGATTTTTCCGAAAGAAAAAGAAGCAACATCCACAGCGCCATTGAAGCTAAGCCTAACATGTTGAAAGCAATTCGATGGAAGAAATTAAGATTCAGAAGCTCAACAAAGATAATTACTGTGCTTGGAAAATCTGAGCACGAGCTGTTTTAGTTCAAAAAAATTGTTGGGAAGCAATTGATCCAGGTTTATGGTGCTGAATCGAAGAATGATGAAAAGAAAATTAGTGAGAAAGCCTTAACCATCCTATTCTTAGTGGTTGAAGACCAGTTCTTAGATGAAATTGCTGACAGTGAAAGAGCAAAAGAAGTGTGGTATACTTAAAAAGATATCCATACAATATTCGGATTCTTGCATCTCTATAACTTTTAAAGGAATTTTTTAATGTAACTTTAAAACAAGGAGAAAGCGTCAGTTC